TGCCCCGGCTTTGGTTAACTAAAGGCGGAACTGCTTCTGAACTGCCATAATAATGACGGTTCATTATCTACGGCGCAGTGGAAAGCTTTGCATCGAGAAGTGGTGGTGGCGGTTTCTTTTTCTACCTCCCGCCCTGTGCTTCTACGCATGAGGCAACATTTTGGGCCTGGTAAGGCTCACTAGTATCGAACTGTAGGCTAAGGAGGCTAAACAACATTTGGAGTCCCTCAAATATAGCATTTGAACATGAGTCCGTAGGCTTTGGCTGCTGTACCTTGCGGTGAAAGGAGACGGTGTGCAAGGGAAGTGAGGCAGATGAGCATTTTGGCATGGTCTCGCTGAACTTGATACACCAGTTTCTGCTGTAGTGGGGGCTGGTCGTTGAGTGCCAAGGATGCGTTTAGAATTGGGAACGATGTTAGTGTGGGCATTGGGGTGGAGCTTGTCTCGGCATGCTTGTGGGGTTTGCCCTGGTAGGGGAACTGCAGCATAGAGCGTGTTCACGCAGGACAGAACGCCGCCTTCCTGCTCCTACGCATAAGGTCTGTGGATTTGTAATCAGGGCTCCTGCTTGCAGAGGAATCCTGTAAGGAGAACTTCCAGAGACTGCAGGAGAGGTGACTGCCCGGGGATCGACCCTGGCATGTCCAGCGGTGAAGGGACCGACATCAAACCAGAAATTTGTTCCGCGTATTTTCGAGTGGCGATTCCTGGACATGTTCATACGAGAGCTATTGGTTCCGCTTGGTCGTTCCACATCCTAGCAAGCTGTACGGCGCCTTCTGGACTTATGCACAGACGGTAGGCGAAATCCCTCCTGGATACCCTCCTTTATATTATTTCAAGAACTGAAACCGATATAAAGAACCTTAATAATATACAGATTTGCGCTCCGGACTCTATTCCAGCAAACCTGGGGGCACCTTGCTCAAACCCTGGTGTTACAGCAGCGGACGCCTAGGCAGTGCAAGTTTCCCAACGCCCCAGGATACACGACCAGTTGTTTGGCCCCACACAGTTGGAGGTGGACGGTGAAACAACAGTGAATATCATTAAAAGTTTTCCCTTCCTCTACCATTCCGGCTTAAGCCTAGATGGATGTCCTGAACTCCACGCAATTGCTGCGCGTACTCACTCGACGTCAGAAGCCAATGCAGAAATCGATGACAAGGGACCGTCGCTGGACTGCCCCAATCGATGCGTCTGCTCTGACTTACCTTCAAAATGCAACTGTTTAATAGAGGCCTTCTACGTTAAAGTTGAAACGATGATTTTTGGTGCA